ACATCATGCCTCGTCGCACCCAACACCGGATCAGTAGACATGGTTTCGAAGGCCATGACTCTCCCCGTACACATTCTCCCCGGGCACCACTCTCGATGTAAGAGTGATGTTGGGGGGGAATGGGCACGGCGGGGGCGATGGCCTCCGAAACCATGTCGGCGGATCCGGAGTTGGGTGCACCGGGACAGGACGTGGTGTCGGTGGCTGTCGTGCTGCTGATGGCCTGCCTGAAGAGGGAGTGGAGGTGGTCGAACCTCTTCACCCAGCAGGTGAGAGTAGTGCAGCTAGAGTCAGTGCACGGAATCGAAAGAAGACACAGCCGTAGGGAAAGCGTCTACGGGCAACCGCACGTAGACTATTGTAGCGTCGTGCCCGGTGAGGGCGCCATGATAGACGCGCGACATAGCGCGATTGCGCCGCCCTGGACATCAACGCACGCACGAGACGACTATCATTCCGTTTCGTGCTTGTTCCCCGGGCTGGCGCTGGTCCCAAAACAACAACGTGCTCGGTGCGTTGTCCACGGATGACAACAGCGATTTGATGCTTATCCTGTTGCCGAACGCTTGATGCGACTTGGCATCACACATGAACAGCGACATCCATGGCCATGGAAATACCCTCAGGCAAGCAGCGCATGCCCTGCTACACCAGCGCGTGGCAGGGTATCACTGCTTGCCTCAGTTGGTTCCCCAGGCTAGAGTTGTCGTTGTCCAAGTACGAAGCCATGTCGCAACCAGCTATGGGCAAGATTGGCATGAAATCGATGTTGTCATCCACGGCCGGCGCACCGAGCACGTTGTTGTTTTGGATTATCGCCAGCCCGGGGAACAGTCACGAAACCGAACAAAGGTCGTCATAGTCACGTCGCATGGAAACGTATGCACCGCCCGTGAAAGGTGTGGCCTTGGTGAGGACATGGACATACGACAGTATTCCATAGTCGGGTCTTGTTTGATCGCGAAAACTCATACATGTAGAGACATTTTCGGCGAGGACGCTAGACTAAGCGCACGGGAGCGCCACCCTGGACAACAACGCACACACGGGACCATTCTAGTTTTGTTCTTGTTCCCCAGGCTTGCGCCAAACCCTAGCAGCGACGTGCTCGGTTCGCTGAACATGGACGACTGCAGCGATTTGACGCCAATTTTTATTGCCGACAGCCCGGTGCGACGCGGCATTCTACATGGACAACGACACCACCTAGCCTCAGGGACAAGCTTAGGCATGCTGCGCATGCCCTGCTGCGCTCTGGCGTACTGCCCTAGTGCCAATAGCAGAGAGAAGTACGCCAGTGCGTGTCCGGGCATCACTGCTGTAGAGAAAAGGGCGCTTGGCCTTTGAGCTTGAAAATATATCCCGCCGCACTATTAATAGTGTAAACGGTGGCATTCTTCCCGTCCCTTGATAAGCCCGCGGCTCGGTGATTTCCGGCCGTTTCGTCCTTTGCCGGTGGGCGATGTGGCGGGTGTTGCATCCGTGGGCTTCTCCTGTCAGAAACCGGGCTACTGACCCGGTTTTGACTAGCTTTCACAAAGCCCCTACGCCGTGCCACTTTTACGACGCTAGGCTGTGAAAATGCCTCGGACACGCTCAACCAATCCTCTGCTTCTTTGTCACCTCCGCGTTTTGTCTCAAGGAGAGAGACGGGGTCCTTTTCTGCTGGTGCGGGCGAGGGTGTCTCGGTCCTCTGGCAGCTGACGACGCCACCTATTTATACATTAAGAAGGTGATCGATACATTGTTGCCGTTCTGAGTGAACAACTTTCGAAGACCGTTGCGAAAACAGATGGGCGAGTCCATTGTGCTGCACATTTGCCTGTCTGGCTTCATATGTGGATTCAAGAAACGGTCATCGCCATGTGGGGTGTGGACAAGCTATTGTTCAAGATGCCCTCGTTCTTCTAATTTACCCTTGAGCGGCGGGGCGCAATCGCCAGGCAGCACGTTTTTCGAATACTACGATGGCTTCACGACTACTGCAATCCGTTCCTCTGGTGTAATCGGCTGGTGGAACCTCGTGTTTGATTGCTTGAGAAAAAGTAGAATGATCAGCCACACTCACTCTGTGTGTCCCACGATAGGTCTGGCAGCACCATGGCGCCAGACATCGGCCGCACCCATCGAACCTCCACTTCAGGTCTTCTGCGGTAGTAGATGCCGCTACTACTGCTGAGGCTAAGAAACATGAAGATGCGCGTTGGCGGGTTGACGACTGACAAATGAGTCGGGAGTTGTTAGAGGGAGAGACTGTACAACAGTTGCAATTACGCCGCATGTTCCCTTTCGACTCATGGCCGCTGAAACGGCCGCTCTCTCGACCAGGAACCGGGGGTCGGGGGTCGGGCGTCTCTCTCTCTCTCCTTCCATCCCTCCCCCCCTCCCTCCCTCTCTCTGCGGCGATCATGTTAGAAGTCTACCCTTGTTGCTGCTGGAAGTTCGTTGTAAGACCATGTCTACGGAGGACGGAGGGTATGCCCTCTCGCAGGTCCCGCTCGGCACCCACACCGCACAATGAGGTTTAATAATTGAATGTAGAGGCGACGTCGTCAACCCGGGTGGCTATGTATTCTAAATCACGACGCATGGAACCGAAGTCGCAGAGATAGACGGGCGTGAAGCCCAGCCGCGTACTTGCCTCTCGGTTCCTCCTCCGATATTTCTCTCGTTTTCTCTTCCAGCCAGCGGAAAACCACCGACGACGCCGTCTTTCGTCGGTTGCTGCCATAACCGGTGGCAGCCTTCCGCCGGAACAAGCCCAGATGGGGTTGTCCCGGGTTATCGACGCCAGCTCTAGTCGCGTGAATGAGCTGGTGACACCAAGATGTTGTCTCGTTCAGCCTACCACCATATCTAACCACGCGCTATGTAGCTGATGAGCTACTGTAGACTAGTCTATACAATGCTGCTTTTCTTTACCCACCTGGTCGAGGGAAAGATGAGTGTGTGTGATTCACGGGTCACCATGTGAGCGTTTCGTTTTATTTTTTTTTGTTTTGCTTAGGGGGTTTCGCACACTTTCCCCGATGGGATCGTTCTTCGTTTCTCCTCGCGCGGCAGGACGCGTTTCAGACAACTTCAGTGAGACATCCAGTAGCGTACCATAGGTCGGTCCTGCGGCGTCGCTGGCCTTTCTTTGAGGAAATTCACATCTTTGTACCGTTAAGAGATCGTTGCGACAGGGTCTCATAGGACGATAGACACGAGAAGGGCAAGAAAGTTGGTGTCCAAGTGTGCAATAGATAACGTGGGGTAGGGCTACACACGACTGGGTTTAGACGATTGTTAAGTCGTTTGTTGGGGCGTGCCGTGTTCCCTGTGGCAGGACAAACAGGTGCGTGATTGATTGAGTCACGGCCTGCTCCTTGTGTGACGGCGAATGAATCTCTTGGTGCCCTATACCTCTGTTTCTCTCACTGGGTTGCAAGGCATTGCGGGTACTGTTGATATGCACTGGCACACGGTGTGTTTGTTTGTCGGCCGTACTCCGCGTACTTATCGGGTATTGTTTGTGTAGTGTATTAACTTCAGACGGTGAGGCAACGCCCGTACCCAGGGCGCTGTCGTGCTCAGAAAGGAAGAGTGGCAGCAGGGCTGCTGCACACAACAAAAGGGGGCCCCGATGCATCATCACCGTACCCCTACCTAAAAGGTTCTACACCATCTGCGTCACACTTGTACGTACGGCTAACATATCCAAACCATGTCCGTAGACCCACGAAAAGTGTTGATATATTTGCCGATAGGATTTATCGAAAAGATGAGTCAAGGTGATCACACAAAACTCAGCCACGCTCACGCTGTGTTGCTTTCCTCATGCCATAGACTTCACGCACAAGCCGACAATGGATAGCCATGAGCAAGATGTCCCAATACTCCAAGTCTGTACCGCCAATTTCACAGGTGGCTTCATCATTCTTGGACCGAAATGACGTCGAAAGCATTCATGCTAGTCAGTCAGCAGCCGATGTAACGTTAGCCGCTGGAGACCCCGATCGGCCATATTCTCAGTGACGCATCCGGGGGGGAGGAATTAGTAGGTTGCATCCAACAAGCTGATGGCATGTGAACGTACTAGATAGGTGGGTGAGTGGCGTCGACAATTCGGGTACTACATTGCCACGTCCGAAATGTGCTCTCATCTATCCTCGCGAACGCGCGCATGAAGCAGCATCATCTCTATGACGATCTTCTTCATGGCAACAGACAACAACATTCGCGTCATCATCTACTATTCCTAATATTCCGTGCCCAAGCGGTTGCTGCCTCGACAGGGCATATCGCTGGTGTTCAGGGCATTTTCGGACAAACCCAACTCGCTTCGGCGATACTCCCTCCTCAAGTACACTTCTGCGTCCTTGTAGCCAGACCGCAGACCCCCAACGCCTGACGTCTCGGCTTGTCAAATTGGTCAATTCAATCTCCACGACCACAGCACGCACAGCTAAAGCAATGTCCTGTCCCATATATCGACGGTAACGTCCGGCCTCCGTCAAGGGTTGACCCTCCTGGATGCCCGGCAAAGCTTGACCCTCCGTTCAAGCTCCCTGCGTCAAGACCCCGACTCCGTGCGAAAAGACCCTGAACCCTGCACCCGCTTCATCGTCGCTCCCTATGGCAACGTAACAGCGATGAAACGGGCTCACGCTCTTAAGCCCTTGCCGCGACGCGTTTTGGACGAAGGGTGAAAACTTCCATCGTGCGTGCAGGAGGAGCAATCTTCGACGGAGGCTGTAAGGTTGCCGTCCACATCATCATGTGGGGACTGGATATGAATCCTTGTTTCATGTACAAATTGTCTCGCAGATGGACCAACCTGACGAGCTAAGACGTCAGGCTTTGGCGAGCCTGTCGTGGAGTGTGGAGGTGCATTGGCAGAGGGGTCACATCACATGCTTCTTTCTGGAAAATGTCGCCGAAGTGAGTGACGGTGCCTCCGACCAGGAACTATACTGTACATTAGATTTCGCCAACAATATACCCTCAACGCCAGCGCCATGTCCTTGGTGTTGGGGCACAACCGCTTCGATACAGTGCGTCTGGAAGAGTCGACGATGATGTCTCGTGCGCCAGCCGTCGTGGGTGGTCGCTTGACACGAAGACCGCAGGTGAGTCGTGTGTTGCTGCACTGCCGGGAAACAACTACCCACTCACTGCGTTCGTACGCGTGTTCGTGAGGGTAGATGAGAGCAGCCATGGCGATGTGTGCAGAGGCGTGGTACTCTGCATACCCACCCCGCCAGCGGATGCCATGCCTTCTCTACTGTCCCGGATCATTGGCAACGACGGTCTCCGATGGTGCACCTATGTAGAATGGACTACAGGGTCTAGAACCGCTTCATGAAGGAACACAGAGACACGACCTTCCCCTTAGCTTCGGGCTTTACCGCCATCGATTCCACGCTGACGATGTTCTGCAACGCCAACAGGTCGGGTTCGATGTCCGTGCGTACGTCCTCACGTTTGGGCTATTTCTCGGACCAGAGATGCTCCTGAACTTCAGCCTACCACCACCCAATGACGCCGGTGTGCATCATAGACTATACATCAATGTACAACACAACATTTACGATCAACAACTGAAACCCGTTTGCTAGGCGGGACGGAGCAGGACGTAAGGTGCGGCATCGCCACGGTCCTACAGCTCCCAAGGCACACAAGGCAACACCCTAATGGTGCAACTCATGTACATACTAACATCGTTTGCGCTGCTTTATGGTGATCTGATTTCATGAAGGAGAGACGCGACCATCGCTGCGCCTAGCAGGATGCTATAGTGCTGCCAAACCAAAACGCAAGAGGTTGCTGAATCATACCGTCGTTTCCTGTCCACGAAAACGGCTCTCAGCAGAAGAAATAGACGGGGGGGTTTCATACGGTACATGATAGTGACCCACGTGCCCTTTCGTACATAAGAGAATCACTACCGAAGATTGCAAGAGTTTACCCGCCGTCGTCCCCCTCAAGACGGTGACCGAGCATTCTAACACGCTCCTCGGCCTCCATAGCACGACACTCCAAGCCCGACGTCTCCGCCCACATCGTCTGATCGAAGGTAGCACCGACCTTCCAATCGGAACAGAGTTTTTCCAAGGCACGTTGGTGCCGTGCCTTTTTCTGGACCACAGCGGCCGACGAAGCCGCCGTCTCCACGTCTAAAATCTTCTGCCTCGGCGATCCACCACTCCGCCGTACTCTCACGATTCCTCACCCACTCATCGCAGTCCTCCACTCTCTCACGCCTGGTGGTCGTATCATAATACTCATCCACGCTCTGCCGAAGGTCGAAGCACCGCTTCCACCCTCTCCCGCCCTCTCCAGAACGCCGAGGAGACCAGTTGGCCGCAGCGACCCCCACTTTTACTCCGTGCCTAGCTGTGACGGTGAATATGTGCGCCGAGCCCACCCCCCACTCTTCCTCCTCCTCCTCCTCCTCCTCCTCCACCTCCTCCATATCACCGAGATATCCAAAACAGACCCGTCAGCAACACTGCCACGCACCCCTGCTCGACATCACCAAGGTTTGCTATTTAATGTGACTAAAATACCTTTTCATCATGGCGGACATCGGTGGTGTTGAGCAAGAATCAGAACAAAGGCCAACGTGGCTTGCCGTCCCCCTTCTTCCCCTCCACGGCTGTATCCATTGAGGGGGCCGGCAGGTAGCAGCGCGCCCCCCTCTGACGGAGATCTACACTTCCAAGGGGCACCGCGGCAGAAGTGACCACATCAGGTATCGGGGCCTCCGCGGCCGATCCCCCCTTTACTTCCTCCTCCAAATGTTCGTTGAGGGCAGCGATATATGATGACGCCGCCACATCTGCCGCCATATCCGCTGCTCCCCCGGGTTACTCATAATGATCTCCAATATGATCGTGGGACCTGATGGCACTGCCCTGCGCCCAGTCGCCGGCGCCACGACACCCGCGCCTGGGTTTCGACTGGAAACAGGAGGCGACTGCACGCGCGCATCCTCCTCCACGATACCTCCGAGAGTAGCCCCTCGTGCCGCTCCCGTGGTTACACGTGCCTTCCTTGCTACCAGCCTCCCCCTGCACCATCGCAAGGCACACATACAGAGCACGGACACCAGCACGACAACGGAAGAAGCCTGCGAAACCGGCGCGGCGGGCGGACAGTATACCAGCAGTGTTCGATGGTCCTTGGGGTTCAGCTCTAAGCATAATGAACATATGACCTTGCTTAGGAGTACCGAGTGTGAAGAGTACCTGGCTACAGCTCGTACAGATGTAAGCACAGCACGACAACGCGGTTTGTGTGCGAGATTATTAACCCGTTGACAATCGGCAGAACGTAACGCCACCCAAACACCCTTCGAGAACGCCCCGTGTAGCGTTTGAACCGTTCAGGGAAGATGAACGCCTCGGGTATATTCTCAATGGCAGGGAGGAATGGTTTCAACAAATAAAACACCCCGGGGCAAAATCTCGGGGCGTCCCGGGGTGTTCTCTTGTTTCGTTACACGCAACCAACACACACTTGGCTGACCTCACATGTCGGGGAAGGGCAGCATCCGCGAGAAAGCACACAAGCAGCAAAGGCTAAGGCTCTATCAACACCACACTACCACACAAAAAAACAAAAAACAAACAACAGATAATACTGTTACTGGAACGAAACCCCCCGTCCTGTAACCCCTTCCCGCCCCCGAGGAGAGAGGAAAATATTATCGAAGAGGAACCAGGGCCGTTCTCGAAGGTGGGGGGGGGGGGGCGTACTCTTATGTTTTGCATGTCTTAGCGGTTAGACCATTGACCACGCGTCCTCGAGAGGACGGAGCATTGTTCCCACAGGACCGATCACCGATGGCCAATCGTTCCTTCCTACTTTGCCAAAGGTGGCTCAAAAGTGTCTTCCCTAGTCTGTCTATCCTAACGATATTCCTTCCCGCCTTTTCAAACCACTTCCTACTCCCCAGTACAGCTACCGTCCTCTCCTCTCTATTCCATGCCTCAAACATCTCCCTGTACGTCCCTTGTATTTTTCCCAGCTCATTCATGTACACTTAACTCCTCCTCTTCGTACCACGGACATTCCGCGACTACATGAACACGGTCTTCGCATTCGAAGCCGCAATCACATTTGAACTTGTCGTCTTCGTCGTCTACCGCCCTATGTCTTCGTCGACGTTCTCGAAGGCCTATGTCCCCGGTACTGAATTTAACCTTAAGCTTTGTCCCTGCATCCATTGGTCCATGTAGGTAATCCTTGAACCATATTCCTTCTTTCAACATTCCGTACACTTCTAGATCCTCCTTATCCTTGGTTTCTTTCCTTAGATTCCGTTCTTCTCTCTCGGCACAAGCAACATATATCTTCTCCTTGAACCCCTGTAGACCCTCCGTTTCCAGCGTTTCATCTTCGTCGATGTCTAACCCCTTCCATACGTCCTCTACAACCTTGACCCATTCCGAAGGTGGGGGAGCGGAAATATGAAAATAGTTGCTCCCCGGCGTTCTCATGGTTGTTGTGGTGCACTGCAGTATTGTTGGTCTACGTCGGATGCTTCCGAAGTTCGTTTTTACCTCGGCGTTTTCTCTCAGGAAAAGAGCCGGGGTGGTCTTGCTGTCGGCCGGGGTGGCCCAGTCCTCGCGACGCCACCTATGAAGGCGATCAAGCAATGTCGCGATGGTGGGTGAAAGGGGTTCTGCGGCAACAAGCTGCGTGTTTTGGCTATGAATACAATTGCTGGAGTCCGACGTGCTCCACACATTGCGCACACATGGGGTATTTTCAATAACGCCATTGCGGCGACGCGTGAAAAAAGTTCAAGCTCGTCACATCTTCTCTTCAGAGCAGCGGGGTAAATGTATGGCAGCACCCGCACCATGCATGCGCTACACCGGCTGCAGTATGCTGCACACACGCTGTTCTTTCATTGCATCAGCCGCTGGGACCTCGTGCTTGACCTAAGCAAAGGATCATGATCGGCCTCACTCACCCTTCTGTGTGCCAAGATGAGGTTGGCATCACCATCACGCCAGACATGAGCCGTAAACCACCGAGACCCCATTTTGGTTTACTTGCAGCAACTGCCGCTACTCCTGCTGAGGTCGGTACCTTGGAGAAGAAACATGATTCATTGAGCGCTTGGTGACTAGGGATACATCGGGCGGGAGTTGTTAGAGAGAGAGACTTGATTTCACTGTTTCACCTTAACTTGCGCCGCACCTCCTCCTTCGACTTCAGCGGTTGAAACCGCTGATCTCTCCACCACGAGGTTTTCGGCGCCTCTCTCTCTCTTGTTGCTGTTTGATGTTGGTTTGTATTGCCTCCTTGTTACCTGCAAACATCCGCTTTCGGTCACCTGATGCGGACGACTGCCTGCCGTGGTCCCAGGCTAACTGCTATCCAAAGGGGAGTAAATAAATATTTCACGGTGCTTGTTCACTTACTACGGATTAAACGAGGAAAAAAAAGAACTATGACAATTAGAGTGGTAGAGAAACCGAACTTGGCAGCACTGGTGTCGTCGACGGTGCCGAGGACCTCGTCGTAGACCGTCGAAACGGTCGAGGCGCGACGGAAATCCGTGTGGGAGGCGGGGAACGGGTCGTCAGAGAATCCATTATCAACAGGCGGGAGCAGCTTGCCTGCCACGACCGCCTTGCGGTGGCGAGTTTGCGTGGAAATCATTGGAGTACCGTGGAGGGTCCGACGTGGCGCGGAAGCCGGCGGGACGGTCGACGGAGACTCGAGGCTCTAGAGCAATAGCATCATCCCAACACGGCTGCAGAGAGTCGGACGAAACGACAGAAGGCCCATTGCGCATTCTCGAAGAGGCGGGACACCGAGAGTCGTGGACGGCCAGGGAGCGATGTTCCAGACGCCAGACGAAGGCGAAAGGCCTGGCGGCGGGAGACGCGGACCGTGCCGACCGAAATCGATTAAATCAGCCGTAGAGAGGGCAAGCCCACCCAAGATCGAATTCGGAGAAGTCGGGACTAGTCCACGCAAGCTATAACCCGCGGCCCCGTTGACCGGAAGGTGTAAGGCTACAAGAACGGATGAAAACACGTTCTCCTCATCATCAGCTGGGGTCGAGCGGCTACGATCAGATCGGTCACATTCGACCGCATTGATCGGAAGGCGAGAGAGCGAATCAGCGTTGCCATTCGCGGGACCCTTGCGATACTCGAGCGTGCATTTGTAGGCGGTAAGAAATTCGAGCCACTGCTGAACGCGGGCATTGTTCTCCCGCACCTTGGCGAAACGCTCAAGAGGTTTGTCGTCGGTGAAAATGCGAAATTGTCATTCACAAGTAACCCCGAAGTCTTTGGATGCACCACACGATGCTACCTGCCTCGAGATCGAGGGGAGTCCAATGGCGTTCGGAGTTCAATGTAGCTCGGCCGATGAAAACGATGGGTCGGATGGAGTCATCCGGTTGTTTTTGTTCGAGCCCCTCCGAACCCATCGCTACTAGCATTACAGTAAAAATAAAAGGCCGCGAGCCGTCCGAAGCGGCATCCCAATCTGGATAAACCAAAACAGGGGGGTTGACCAACTTAGACAACAGGACGCGAACGACTTGCTCCATGGATGGGGTGAAGAGGAACTTCACCTGTTTCTTTAG